TTGTAAGACTATGATTGCAACTAAGAGGAGGGTGAATTAGTTGTTGCAATAAGTATGGCCAATTTTTCTGCAATATCAAAGTTAATGTGCAGCAGAAATATTTTGCAGAAAAATATTGACTTAGGAAGGATAAATAAATAACAAAGAGAATGGAAAGAAAGTACACAAGTGTTTTATACTGGTTCACCTTCTTGTCCACCGAAGGCTACGTCCAGTACTCTTGACGCGCAAGAGATTCCTTTATTATATATAATGAGTTGCAATTACAAATATCTCACCTCGAGATCTCCTTGTACCTTACACACTCACTTAAATCTAATCCCCTTGGAAAACTCTATTCCAAGTAACACCCTTGATAAACACTATACCAAGTTACACCCTTGGTAAACACTATACCAAGTCACTCACCCTTTCTCTTCACACCCTTGTGAAAGAAAGTAAACTTTGAAAAAGTGAAGAATGTACAATTTGGCTTGGATTGGCATACAAGTGTATATGGCAATTTCTAGAACTTGCAATCCAATAAAAACTCTTATACTTGAGATAATAATGCTCTTTAACAATATGAAAAACACTTAGAAGCAACTTCAAAATAACTTTGAAAGTTTAAGAGTAGGTTGCTTGAAAAGTGTAAGTAAAATCAGAAAGTGTGAGGGCTTTTAAAGAGAGTTTGAAATATGAGTTGTGAGTTGTATGTATGTATGTTGTGAGAGTGTTTCAATGCTTTTATATAGGCTTCCAATCAACCATAATACCCTTAGGCATGAGTAGGTTTCGTTTGGAATGAAAAGCAAATCAGTTTGGAGTGAAAACTCTTCACTTGAAATCTGAAAATTGATACAACAGCTCTCAGTAAACGATTACTACAAGTGGGTAATCGATTACTCAACAATCATGTTAACAGCTTTTTGAAAATTCACACAGTGTAATCGATTACTGAATTTGAGTAATCAATTACTCAACAACACTGTTTGACAGCTTTGTGAATTTGTCTTAGTGTAATCGATTACACTACTTTGAGTAATCGATTACACTGTTTTCAAAAAATGGTAATCTGTTACTCCAAAGTCTGTAAGGGATTACTCATAGCTGTTAGAGGTTTGAAAACTCTTTTCTCACTCATGTAACTTGTTACTCAAGTATAGTAACCCGTTACATGTTGTTTTTGAAAATCATTTTTATTCACACTTAGATTTTTTTTTGATTTTCTTGAAAACAATTTTAAGCATTATTAACTAAGTAAATAAAGGAGTTGTAAGGATAGAAGTACCTAAAGACTTAGACTCTAAATCTTGAAGCTTTATCTTCGATAGTATTTGTCAGTCTGCTTCCTTTCTTCTTTTTTTGATATTGGTGTCTTAATCAAAACCGTGTCAAGGTCAGGAGCAAGATCTTCTTCACGCAAAACAAATATTTGTGCGTGTGTTACTCAAATATAAAAGTCTACCAACCAATTGTCTATAGAGAAGAGGGTCTTCAAAGATAGCACTGTCTTCTTGAGAGAGTGAACAGCCTTTAACGATAGGAGTAGGGACAAGTTTAGAGGTGAGAAAACCTGTGTCTGAGAGTAAGTCAAGAGTGTATTTTCGCTGTCCAAGAGTGATGCGTTTTGATGAATGAGCAACTTCTGAGCCAAAAAAATATCTAAGTGGACCAAGATCTTTTACTTTGAAACGTATGTGAAGATGGTGCTTGACCAAGGCAATTTCTGCAGCATCATTCCCAACAAGAATCAAGTAATCAACATAAACCAGAAGAGCAGTGAATTTGGTGTCTTGCAGCTTGGTAAATAAGGAGTTGTCATATGGTGATTGAGTGTATCCCAAGGCAAGTAAAGCTTGTGAGATTTTTGCAAACCATTGGCGACTAGCCTGCTTGAGTCCATACAATGATTTGTTTAGTTTGCACGCGTGGGCAGGATTAGAAGAATGATCACCTTGTGGCAAACTCATATAAACTTCTTCAGCTAAGTCACCATGCAGGTAGGCGTTGTTAACGTCCAATTGGTGTAATATCCAACCTTGTGAAGATACTATAGCCAATAACATTCTTACTATTGTGAGTATAATGATAGGAGCAAAGGTATCAAAATATTTTACCCATTCATTTTGTGTGAATCCCTTTGCTACAAGTTGTGCTTTGCATCTTTCAATGGAACCATCAGCTTTAAACTTCAGCTTGTACACCCATTTTGAACCTATGGCTTTCTTACCATGAGGGAGATCCATGAGAGTCCATGTGTTATTCTGCTCCAGGGCTTGTAATTATGCTTGCATAGATTCAATCCATTCAGTGGATTGAATGGCTTCTTTAAAATTCCTTGGTTCGGTAAGAGTAGTGATGTTGAGAATGTAATGAAGATAAGTGGGAGATAAGGCTTTATAGGACAAAGTGGATGTGAGAGGGTGTATAATATGTGTTGAGTTGTCAAAGGTAGTGGAGGTAAGAAGGCTACAGTGGAAGTCTTTGAGGTATGTAGGAGGAATATGTGTTCTGTTGGATCTTCTAAGAGCAGGGGATGAAGGATTTTGTGTGGAATGTTGTGGTTGATTTGTAGGTATGTGGATGTCTATGGGTGGCTATGTGAGTGGAGAAGTAGTGGATGAAGGGGTTTGGTTTTGTGTATGTTGTCCAAGAGGATTAGGCAGGGTAGGCTGGTCATAATGCAAGAAGTATGGTTCCATAAGTGGAGTGTGAATAGGTTGAGGTTGGGAAGTGGAGTATGGGAAATGTCTTCATAAAATTTTACATCTCTGCTAGTGAAGATTTTCCTGGTTGTGATGTCAAGGAGTAAGAAGCCTTTTGTTCCTAGTTTGTAGCCAAGGAAGACAGACTTTCTTGCCCTGGGATCCAGCTTTCTCCTTTGTTGAGTGAGTGTAGTGGCATAACATAAGCTTCCAAACACCCTTAAGTGAGTCAAGGAAGATTGGACAGCATTCAAGGCTTCTGAAGGAGACTTGAAGTTCAGGACTTTGGTTGGAAGTCTATTTATCAGATAAACAGAGTATCTTGCTGCATAATTCCAGAAAGCTTTTGGCAGATTGGATTGAAAGAGAAGTGCTCTAGTCACATTCAAGATGTGCCTATGCTTTCTTTCAACCACAGAATTTTAATGGGGAGTTTCTACACAAGATGTCTGATGCACAATTCTAGATTCAGTAAAAAAAGAAGGCATAGAGAACTCCACACCATTGTCTGATCTGATTCTTTTGATTCTTTTGTCATACTGAACAAAAACATTCTTAACAAAGTCTTTGATGATGTTTATTGCATTAGATTTGGTTAGCATTAAAAATAACCAAGTGTATATAGTAAAATCATCAACAAGAGTTAAAAAAATACCTATGGCCATGAATAGATGGGACACTAATGGGTCCCCATATATCTATATGAATAACTTCAAAAGCATGAGTAGTAACAGAAGAGCTTTTAGGAAAATGAAGTTTAGATTGTTTAGCTAAATGGCAAGAATCGCAAGTTTTATTAGAGTCAAAATTCACATAAGGAAACAGTTTGCATATGTGTTGTAACACTTTGTATGAGGGATGTCCTAAACGAAAATGCCAAAGATCAAAAGAATTCTTATTACAAGTATTGTTTATGCTATGAAAAGAAGAATAATCATGTTTGGGAAGCTTGGTAAGAATGTATAGATGATTATGAGCTTTAGCTTGTCCAATCATCTTCAAGGAAATTGTATCATTAATAACACAATAATCATGATCAAATGTGTCGCGACCCGATTTTCGGTTGGAAGACCGACCCTACGACTTAGGGAGAGGCGAACTCGATTTCTACCTATTCCAATTGTTTTGGAGTCGCCACTACGTTTTTTGCAGGTAAAACGTAGAAAACTCTAAATTATGCCCGATTAGGGCAATTTGGTCTTTGAATAGAGATTCTGAGCTCGAGAGTCGATTACGGATCGGGGAAGGTATTAGCACCCCATCCGCCCGTATTAAAATGGTACCCTCACTAATAACATGGACTTTTATACCCTATTTATTACAATTCAGTAATTAAAAGAAAAATGTTTTTATTTTTTATTGTTGTACCTGACAATAGTTTATCCTGCTCCTACGTATCCCTATGTGCAATAGGGACATCAAAGCTTTTGTAGTTCTGGTTTGAAAAAGAATTAAATTGATTTGGGTAGTTTAAAAATATGTTGAAGTAGTTAAGTCATACAATATGATTTTTTACAATATACTTTTGATAAGGAATTAATAGTTTAGAGAAGGTGTTGGTCGCTCACCTTCTTCTCATTTTCAGAGAAGTTAGAGTCGACTCGAACCATGACCTTGCTATAAAAATTCGATTAAAAGTCATTTGAGTAAAAATACAAATTCGTTTAAATAAATAAGATAAATTTTTAATTAACATGTTTCGGAATATGGAATTAATAGTTTAGAGACGGTATTGGTCGCTCACTTTTTTCCCATTTTCAGAGAAGTCAGAGTCGACTCGAACCATGATCTCGCTATAAAAATTCCATTAAAATTCACTTAAGTAAATAAGATAATTTTTGGTTAACGTATTTTGAAATATGGAATTAATAGTTTAGAGATGGTATTGGTCGTTCACCTTCTTCCTATTTTCAGAGAAATCAGAGTCGACTCGAACCATGACCTTGCTATAAAAATTCCATTAGAATTCGTTTTAAGTATAAATTCATTTAAGTAAATAAGATACTTTTTTGTTAACGTATTTTGAAATATGAAATTAATAGTTTAGAGACGGTATTAGTCGCTCATCTTCTTTCTATTTTCAGAGAAGTCAGAATCGACTCGAACCATGATCTTGCTATAAAAATTCCATTAAAAGTCATTTGAGTAATAAGATAATTGTTTACTCAAAACATTTTAATTACTATAGAAATTTAATATGATTTGGTAAAACAAACAACTTTAAAAAAATACATACAAATATAAATATAAAAACAAAGTGCAATTAAAATATTAAAATGAATAATGATAAAATAAAATAAAGAATAGCATGAATTTGGAAAAGAGGGGTAACTTTACCCTTCACTTCACACGGTCATGAAAAGAAAAGGGGAAGGGGTGAAATCCCTAAATCCCCAAATTCCTCCTTCCTGTCGGCGGCGGTGAAGCAGCGAAGGAAACTCACCAAAGATGAAACGGCGGCGATGGAAGACAGCAACGGCGGTAGTGTTGCTTTGAGATCATCATCCTCCTTTCTCTTCGGTTCAAACCGATTCGGAACCGTGAAGGTGGAATGAGGCTACCATGGTTCGATTACTCTCCTCTATCGGCCTTTCTCTTCCCATTCTTCCTTCAACTTCTTTATTCAAACGGTGCAACATCAAAAGGGAGATAGGTTGCCATATCCGGCGAAGGTGGCAATGAGACGCATCGATGGTGGTTCTGCCGTGAGGGGTACTCTCTTCTTCTGCATTCTATTTCTTCATGATGCAAAGGGAATCAAATTCCCAAATTCCCTTTCCATCTTCTCTCTTTCGTAGCAGTGGCGATTAATGACGCTGTGAGGTTGCTACGGCGGGTTAGGGAACCGAAAGGGAACCCATTTCCCTTTTCTCCTTCGTTCCAGTGATGGTGTGTCGACCAAAGAGGCTTTGCGGTGATGGTGAGATCAGCTTTCTCCTTTGACTTATCCTTTTTTTCTGCTTTTGAATATCAGCCTCTTGATTCCTTGTTTGATCTCAGCTATTGATGCTTGTTATGGATAGGTGTAATGGATATGGTTGCCTGCTTTGTGTGTATGGCCTTTTTGGTTATTTTGTGATAACAATGATATTTTTCTGCTTGTTGGTGTATATGTATGACCGCGTTTACGTGGTATCTCTATGAAGTTTCTGAGTTTGACTATTTGACGTGTGATATAGGGGTAGATAGTTGTGTGTATGACTTCTGGTTTGTAGGTATGAATGCTTGGGTATTTTCTATTTCCGAAGGTCGGTAGGTCTGATGGAATTGTGCGGTGGAGAGGTAGATGAGTGATCTCTATTTCTCGATGGTCTCCCCCCATGTGATATCAATCTCATTCTTTTTATATTTGCTTGAGAGTTATCTGATGATAGACTTTTGAGCTGCCAATTGTGAGTCAATAATGTATCATAACTCCCCTCTTTACTCTGGCTGCTTAATGATTATTTCCCTTTATGCTAACTGTTTATGAGTGTGTAACTGAAAGAGAAATGCTAACAGCCATGATCCTTGGTGTTCATTTCTCTAATTGCTTTTTTATATGTAATATCTCTGATTATGATTCACGGCTGAATCTCCTTCTCTCCCTCAATGATGATTCATTTTGTAACAGCTGGCCAGCAGGCCTTGATTTACCGAGTTTTGTTATTCTGATTACTTCTAATTACTCCATTACTTTGGTTATTGTGTCTGAGTAACTGATTTTTTGGATGGCATCCTTGGATTGCCATCTTTTGGGATTCTGGTGTTTGAAGATATTACTTTTAATTTGCCATGATTATCATTACACCACTTCAATTGCTAAGCAATAATCATAACCTTCTGGCTTCTTATTTTCAGGATGGGGAATGAATTCTTTTTTAACTTAAGATTCTCTTATTGCGCATGCTGATTCTGAATCTGTTTGGCATGTTATAGAGAAGGCCATGCAGACGTAGACAAACCATGATTCCTATTGTATTTTTTCTTCAATGCTGCATGAACAGAATTCTAACTTCTACCCCATTGACAGGATATTAACTTGGATAATTCTTCACAGCAACAAGGATTAAATTGTTGCCAATTAAGAGCATCCATCAACAGCTATAGTTTTTTTTAGTGGTTGTAGTGATGGAAAACTTAATTGTATTGTAACATTCTTGAAGTCTCTATAACACATTTCCTAAGAAGCAATTTTTTATCTACGATCATATTTGATATATGCATTGATTATGAAAACACCTATGGTAACTACCACATTCAGGAAGTTTCGTATGAATGGTATGGAAATGACAAAAGTTCATTGTTATAAGATAAATAAGTTCACGGTTGAAATATAGTAGGACCTTTGGGATATGATATATTGAGGTCATGATCCTAAAATTAGAAGCGAAATGCATAAAGCTCATCAACGAGAATAAAACAATTCACCCCATTAATAGGTCATCTTCTCAAAGGATTCCCAAGACTCATAAAAATTGTGAGTTGACTTGTATGTCCTTTGTTGGAAACTATGAGGTCCAGCTGGGATAAAATTGAGTGCTCACCGGTGTTTTGAAATATATATTTTTATAAATAGGCCGGACAAAATTGAGTGTTCACAAAATGTGATATTGCAGTTAAGTGAAACAATAAGTCTATGTATGGAAACAAGATTGTAATGAAAATCAGGAATAAAGAGGACGTTGGTAAGCAATAGAGAACAAATAAAGCCATTGTTCCATATTGTTTTGCAAAAATAGAGAAACCATTAGGCAATTTTATCAAGATAGGTTTAATATCTTGGTAATTAATGTAGTTAGTGAGGCTATTTGACACATGGTCAGTAGCCCTAGTGTCAAGTATCCAACAATGCTTGGTAATAAGAATATCTGAATGAGGCACAGATTCCTCATTTATACTTATCTAGTTGATAGAATGAATTGGATCAATAGTTAAGGCTGCATTCTGAGTTTGTGAAGCAGAATTAGATGACTTGTCTTCCATGGCTTCTCTGTTTGGATCACACAGATTGGTGTGGTCTTGGTTGAATGTAGCATTAACTGATCCATTGCATGATCTTGTTCTAAGCTTGAAGTTGGGAGGAAAACCATGTTTGTAGTAACAAGTTTCAGTTGTGTGATTTTCTCTACCACAAAAGGTACATAGCTCGTTGCTTCCTTTTCCTCCTTGAGGTCTTCCAAGAATGCTCTTGTTGGATGACTCTGAGCTAGTGCTGAATGAGGTTCTTTGACCAATGGACTTTCCATTACTGGATTGGCTTCCTCTGTTGTATCTGCTAGAATTACTTTTCCATGATGTCTAGAATTTATGGAGCTAATCAGACTTCTCTGATCTGCCTGAATTAGGGAATCTTGTGTCCTTCTTGTTTTGTAACTAAAGAATAAACTTTGTTCAAAGCAGGTAAAGGCTCCATAAGCAGGACTTGAGCCATGATGGTGCCATAATTGTCATTAAGCCCCTTCAAGAAGCAAATGACATGTTCTGCTTCTCTATAATCTTTGATGATCTTTAAGGTGTTACAAGTGCACTTGATGTTGCAGATGCACACATGTAGAGGTCTGAGTGACTCCAATTCTTCTCATGCCACTTGCAAATCAGTGAAGAAGGTGGCTATATCCCTATCACCTTGTTTCATTGAGTGTATTTCTTGAAGAAGATCAGAGGCTCTAAAATTATCTACCTTATTGAATCTTTCTTGAAGATCTTCCCATAATTCTTTTGTTGAATCTATGTAGACAATGCTTTCTGCTATTTGAGGTGATATGGATCTTGTTATCCATGAAACTACCATCGTATTGCATCTCTCCCAAGCTTCATAGGAGGAGTCAGAAACATATGGCATTTGAATAATTCCATTGACAAACTTGTATTTGTTCTTTGATATCAATGCTCTCCTCATTGACCTGGACCAAGAATGATAATTGGTTCCACTAAGAGGAGGGGAAACCAAAGGGATTCCTGGATTGTCTGTAGGATGAAGATAGTGGGGATTAGATGGGTGTTGAAGGCCATCTACCTCTGGATTCGTCTGGATTAGGTCAGACTGCATTTTGATAATATTGAATCTGGAGAGAAGGAGAAAAGAACAAGATAAATAAAGGAAGGAGGAGAAAGATGGTGAAGGATTCGTAATCAACTAAGGTGATTAGTTATGGAAGAAGGAAGATAGAAAAGAAGTGCGCAACAGAGCTCTCATGTGGAGAGCTCTGAGACCATATTGGATTTATGGATCAAAGCCATTGGAGAAGAAGAATACTGAATAATGCTTGTGTATTGATTGAATTGAATGATTGAAGAATACAAGAAGGAAGTATATAACGGGAAAGGAAAAGATAACAGAAAAACTAACCTAACTAACCCAAAGCTAACTAACAAATATAAAGGGAAATGGGCCAAGAACAAGAAGCCCAATAACCAATAATCATATAACAAGCTTCAATACTAAAGATATCTTCTTGATATATAGAGTTAAAGATGGTTATAAAGGGTTATATCGATGCTTTCTTCCACACTAATAAAGACAACTTCAAATCATAGTATTGTGTTTTATTTAAATGGTAGGGCTATAAGATTGAAAAGTTGGAAGCAAGAAACTATGCCAGATTCTAAGGTATAAGTTGAATATATTAGTGCCTCAGATAAAAATTTCACTAATGAACTTGCCATTTGTACCTAGCATTGAATTCCTAGTGTACCTCTATTGTGACAACAATAGGGCCATTGTACAGCTGAGGAATTGGGATCTTACTAGTGATCCAAACATATACTTAGATGCTTCCATATCATTCTGAGATTATGGATAGATGATATGTGAAACTTCCAACAAAGGATAATATTGTAGATCAACTAACTAAGCCTCTTGCACAGAAGAAGCATGGGGAACATGTTAGGACTTATGGTATTAGATTATTTGTGTATCGTCTCAATGTACAAATGAAAATAAATTATGACAATTATGGAATTAAAATGAGTTTACTTGAAAACCATAGTTAATTTAGATCTAACGAACTAATTCAATAGGTAGAAGAACACAAAATTTCTTTGTAATCCGAGACATTACATCTATACCTGTCAAAACGGGCTACCCGGACAGGTTTGGGCTAGCCCGCTTTTGATTCGGGCTAAAATGGGTCGGGCTAAAAAGCCCGGTTATATTTTATGTTGCTAAAAATGAGGCCCAAACCCGCACCAAAGCGGGCTGCGGGCTGCGGGCTGCGGGCTGCGGGCTGCGGGCTGCGGCGGGCCGACCCGGATTATTTTATTATTTACACCAATGCAAAAAACTGATGCTTTTAATATGTTGTAATCGATTACGAGTATATTGTAATCGATTACAACATATTAAAAGCATTATTTTTTGCTGTTTTTTAAATAGTGTAATCGATTACCAGGATTGTGTAATCGATTACACTGTTTAAAAAACAGCAAAAACTGATGCTTTTAATGTGTTGTAATCGATTACGAGTATATTGTAATCGATTACATCATGTAAAATGCACAAGTCTGATTAGTTTATCAGCATGTAATCGATTAATATGATTGTGTAATCGATTACACTGTTTAAAAAACAGCAAAAACTAATGTTTTCCATATGTTGTAATCGATTACGAGTATATTGTAATCGATTACATCATGTAAAATGCACAAGTAAGAAAAGTCAAATGAAAGGGAAGAAAATGAGTAGACAATGGCCCGAACCCGAACGGGTAAGCCCGGACCGAGCCCGAATTTATTGTGGCCCGGCCGGGCCGGGCTAAAAAGCCCGGTTTAACTAAAATACTCAAACTTTAGTACCCAAGCCCTATACGTTTTCGGGCCTTGGCGCCCCGGCCCGCTATACCCAGCCCATTTTGACAGGTCTAATTACATCATACCTGAAAATTTTAAAATAAAACTACACAATTTTCATGTAAAGACAAAATAGTTTAAAAATTCAGAATTGGTAGGTTCGCTCCACGAGTTGCATCTCGCTATGTGAGTTTAACTACTGGAGCAAGCATACTAAACATGTTTAAACAAATACTACATATAGTTTGTTTACTTATCCAAACATTAGTTTTCACCCATTAATAATGTCCTCGGGCTTCGTCCGGAGCATAAAACTAGAAAGGCTCAAGTACAACTGTACAAGAATATTAATTTACAACAGGTTTCATTCAGCTCCACCCGAATCACAAAATATAAAACTACAAGATATAAAACTTTATAAATACAGTTGAAAATATCACTAAACATCATTTATTATGAAAGAACACTAAACCAAACCAAAAGGGGGTTTATCCTAACTAGAGTTGGCATCCAACATAGACCGAATTCCTATAGTGAATATAGTAAGGCTTCTAGCCTATATCTGTAAATTGGGTATCCATACAGCATCTGCTCAACATGTTTAGTACTAGACCAAAAAAAAGACATAAGAGAGAGTAAGATACCAATTAAAATGAGTGTAGTGCAAAAATGGGTATCCATACTATGCTCAACCTGTTCAATACTAGACAAAAGAATATACAGGAGAGAGTAAGATATCAACTAAGATGGTTGCAGTGTGTATTTACATAGATTATAACATTAAAATAACACAAATACATATAACACTTAGTTGATCAATGTCAACCATGTGCACATGATGTATCATGCAACCATCTTAGGATATGGTGATGAATATCCATATGCACTAAATCATGCGATTCATGTGGGACTTTACACCAACGCCCATCAGAAAGCTATTAAAAGTAAATGTTCTCTTCGGTGTGTCCAACAACAACATCATCTCCCCATCAACATCAGCTCAATAACCATGTCACTTCGAGCCAATGACAATATGAGAATAATCTTCACTTATCCAAACAACTAAAAGAGGGTGTGTGTTAGATTGGTTGAAGAATAGTTATCACGACATGGGCTACTTTACCCAATTAATCTTCAAGGTTTCATGATGTAACAACATCAGAATTGTCGTGATTCACTTCCCAAAATATTTCTATTTGCAATTTTTCTTATTAAAAACACATTTTTAATGCAATGATGTATGTACACTAACTATAATTAGTCATTTAATAAATTATACCCAAAATTTACCTATTTTGAGGCCTATCTTAACTAGCGATCTAAACTCAAAGGAAATATCACGTCATGCCTTTTATCGACGAACAAGATGTTATTAGGGACTCTTCTACTATACTCAAACTAACAACAC